TTCCATTTTGTGCTGGCTTTTTGTGTTTTGAATCCGCAGTAGTACTTTTTATCCACTCTACAACAAAGCAGCAATGTGAACATCTTATAAACTTCCAGCTGCCCAAGGACTGTGCATGCAAAGGACTCTGCAACCAGCTACAAGGCCAAGAGCCATAGGGAGGATGGACCCCCTCCCTCCTTCTCAGGAAGGACATCATCCAAAGGAGAAGACCAACCTCATCCCAAAGGAACATTACTGCCAGGACTATCAGACTAACTTTCCTCTTTTATTTTCTCCACTTTCATATCCCCCCCCCCGCCCCAATTTATTTATTTGCAAGTCTGAGGACAGGGAGCCTTTCCCCTCTTAACTGATGCAACGTGCTGAAGGACACCCGTGTCTGAAAAGCAGCATATAAGTACAGTGAAGAAAAGTACTTTTAACATGGCTGTGAGCTACTTCTGTTTGGAAAGAAAGACAGGCAGGCATGCAATGAGGCAGCTTTGAGTACAGTGCCAGTCTATAGGCAGAAAAGGCCTTGAAGGGCAGAAAAGGAACATCACAAGATCATTTCCCCCCTCCGAACTCTATCTCTTTACCTGCCAACCGGCCTCCAAGTGCAGGCTGGGGGAGAGAGTCCAGAAGCTGCCCCTTCCAGTGTCATTGAGTGGAAGTTCCTTCCCTCTCACCTCAGCCTTCCAGTAATTTCTTGAACTCTCAGCAATGCTTCCTTTCCTCCTTCGTACACGGCTGTTGTTTTTGCCTTCCAGGCCCATGAGATGTTGCCAGAGGGTCCCGGTGATGCAAGGGAAAGCAGTTGTTGCAGCAGGCAGCTGGCTGAGAGTGCCGGAGTGTATTTCTGGCACCGGCTGCCTCCAGAGAGGAGAGTGCGATGGCAGGGAACCAGGAAACATGCCATGTGGAGGGGCCTGGGTGGCACTGAAGGGAGGCGGAGAGCACATCAGGCTCAGAAGTGAGTCCGGCTGGGTGGGAATGAAGTGCAAACATGCCAGGAGCTGCTTCCTGCCAGGAACTTGATCCTCCAGGAGGCTCTGTTCCCTGCGGATTGTGTTTCTCTCCCACTTCCCCAAACAGGGAAGAACCACTGGAGTGTCCACAAAAATCAGACAGTTTGGGGTTTGTGTCTGTTCGTAGAGTTGCCAGCCATGACTGGCATCAGCATGCCCTGAGGTGGGGCAGTGTTCAAGGCCCCAGGCTTCTGGCAGGGCCCACTGTTGCTGACCCCCCACCCACCCATCTATCTCTCCTGCCACTGGCCATGTGCCTTTCCCTGCCCATTTGCTCGCAGGCACTCCACCACTCCTGCTTCCAGTCTCCCAGCACTGATGGAGAAGTACATCGGAGTGGTTCGGAATGGCAGCACTCCTCAGCAGCACCGCTGTCAGCTGCGTGCACCAGCCAGTGCTGTTGGGGAAAGGGCCTGGGTGTGATGCAGCTGGCAGTGAGTGCCGGCAAGTTTTAGGGCTTGCGAGCAGGGCAGTCAGATGGGTGACACAAAGGTGGGTGAGTGTAAATGGAGGCTGGTGATGGGCAGCAGGGGGCTCTTGGGCACAGTCTGGCCAGGGCCCCCCAAAACCTGGAATTGGCACTGTTGCCAACTCTGAGTTGGAAAATTCCTGGAGATTTGTAGTCTGGAGCCTGGAAAGGGTAGGGTTTGAGCAGTGGAGGGACCTCAGCAGGGAATACTGTCATACAGTCCACCCTCTAAAGCAGCCATTTGTTCCAGGGGAACTAGGCGTGCCAGCCTCCAGGTGGGACCTGGGGATTCCCCAGAAATAAACCTTATCTCCAAATTACAGAGATCAGTTCCCCTGGAGGAAATGGCTGCTTTGGAAGGTGGACTCTATGGCATTATACTCTGTCCTGCCCAAGCTCAACCCCCAAATCTCCAGGAGTTTCCCAACCTGGAGCTGGCAACCCTGTGCCTGGAACCCCTGCCAGTGGCCGGGGGGGACAGGACCTGGCAACCTAATGGGAACTGACCTCTGCAGTCTGAAAATCAGGCCCCACCTGGAAGTTGGCATCTCGATGTCTGTGTGCTGCCATGATAATTATTTTCTGCAGAGGCAAACAGCTGGTAGGCCTTCAGTGCCTTCTTAACGATGGATTTATTTGGGGCAGTTTTATCCTACCCTCCCTGCAAGGATCTCAGGGCAGCATACATGGTCCTCCATGCTTCCATTTTATCCTGACAACCACCCTGTGAGGTAGGTTAGGCTGAAAGAGAAAGGCTGGAACAAAGTCCCTAGTAAGTTTTATGGCAAGCTCTAACCACTATATACTCTCTCTGTCAGTTGCTCTGGCAATTTCCCAAAACACGGAAGCTTTTCCAAAGCAACTCTTTACCACGATTTTGCTGAAGAAAGAGGTTTCCCCTGGCTGTGCTCCAAACTGCATTCTCAAGGCCAAACTAGACCTACGTTCCAAGACTCTTGCCTTAAAGAATGAAAAACATCTTTAGACAGCTGGAAGTTAAAAGCAGTACGAGGGAGGGGTAGGAGCTGCTTGGCCCTTTTGCCTCCTGCTGTATGTCTGCACAAGACCACCCTCCCTCCTCCTGCTTTCCCATCTGTAAAGGAAGGAAGATGGGGACCAGCACACAGAATCTGCAACAGTCTCAGTCACTTTGCAATGTGGCTCTTCTTCCGCCAGCTTGCTCTACAGCTCAGAGGAGCAAAAAAACAAACAAACAAAGAAGCCCTGGTTATCTCCCAAGAAAAGCAACCGGCTTCCCATCCTGACCTCTTGCTACCCCTTGGCATTTCCCTGTGGCTGTTCGTCTTGAATCTGTAACCAAACCTCACTGTTCTTGTGATGCTTTTCAGTACTCTGCATGTGGATATTGCCTGAGCTTCACAACACGCCTGTGAGCTGATCTGGGTAGGAAAAAGCCTGGAAACAGAATACAGGAGTCTAGCTTCCTTTGCCTTGCTGTAATCACTAAGCCACTTGCCCCTCTAGAGAACTGCACACACACATACACACATATATTGGTTTTGCAGCTTCTCCTCACTGAGGTGCCGCTGTTCTGACGACGACAGTTGCCAATGGCATTTAGCCTTTAGCCCACTATGCTCTGTTCTGAAGAAGTGAGCATAGTGAAGAAGTGAGCGGTGACTCATGAAAACTCATACCCTGCCACAAATGTTGTTAAATCTTTAAGGTACTACCAGACTCTTCCTCTTTTCTACTGCGACGGACAGAGTAATGCAGCTACCCATCTTGACCTATGCTCTGTTGGTAGCTGATGCAAGAAATGAAGTCATTCTTACCCAGAAGGCTATCCAGCAATTAAGAAAGGGCTGTAGCTCAAAGGCAGCAGAGCATCTGTTTGGCACGCAGAAAGTCCCAGGCCCAAGCCCCAGCATCTCCACTCAAAAGGATCAGATGTGATGTGAAGGAATTCAACCTGAGACCCTGGAGAGCTGCTGCCAGTTAGAATAAATATTAGTGACCTTGACAGACCAGCAGGCCAACACAGAATAAGGCAGCTTCATGTGCTCACATCCCCTTGGCAAACATCTGAGGTGTTCAGGGAATTAACAACACAACATAGTCACCTCCGTCAGTGAACAATCTCCCTATGAGTGACAGTAGGAGCTCTGGAAGGTTTATACAGGCCATGGGATGGGATTGGCACAATGGTGTCACCTGGTTCCCTGGACCAGGTGGAATCTCAGCCATGGTAACTGTCTTGCAGTTTGATTGACTTCTCTCCAGCCTGCTAGCTGCTGCCTCAGTGGTAGAGGGATCAAGCATTTGGACCTTTAAGATTAGTAAGTACAGCCTTGGTCTGAGTCACTCTGTTTGCAGCCAAATATGGCACAGAACAAAGGTTGTTCTCCATGGTGACTCTTCCTCCTGTAATACCCTGGAAAGCTCTCTGGACAGGACACCTGCCTTCTGTGCTTACCTTGTAATTTATTTATTTATTTATTATATTTATACCCCGCCCATCCTGTGAGCAGGCTCAGGGCGCCTAACAAAGCGGTAACACGAGTGAATTTAAAAAAAAATCTCATCACGAGGCCTTCTCTGGATATGCACTGGCTGCTTCACTGAGTTTTGTTTATGCTGCCACCGTGTTGAGTATTTTGAGTGTCATGTTTTAATTCCACTGTTTTATTGATTGCATTGTGAAGGGGGTTTTGGGTGTGTTTGTGTTGCTCTGACTGTTCAGAAAAAAACACTAAAAACAGGTAATAAATGTATGCCTATTATAACAAACATAATGCACAGACAAAACCCTAAATGCTTCCCCTGCCTTCTGTGTTGCTGCAGGCCAGTCGGAAAGGTGCCAGTTCTCCAGATGCCCTCCTCCTTCAATTACCTTGTCTTTCCGCCACGACCGTTCCATTACAGAATTCCGGTGCCCCCCCCCCTTAATGGATCAGACACCCCACTTCAGGAAACTTTGACCTTCACAACTGCAAGCAACATGAGGTAGTTTCCATAAGTGGTTTTATTACTGGTTAGATTTTTACAAATTCTGATAGCTGAACAGACTTTTCACTTTTAAAATTCTAAAACATCAGAACAACCAATGAAGGGGCTTAGGACTAATTCAAAGTAACAAACTCTTATTAACATTTTTTCTCTTTTTCTCTTTTTTCTTTTTTTGTCTTTGCCCTGGTCATAAATATACAGAAAGGAGAAGGGGGAGGGGGACGTGTGATCCAAAGGACGGGATACCAGTATATAAGGCACATGGCAGTCTTTGAAAATTACAGAAGCTTTAGCCAACTTAAATTAATTGCTGTTTCCCTTGCCCAGTCCACAAAACTGTACATTGACACAAATGTTGTGTGGCAGGTAGCACTTCCAAGTTATTCCTTAGTCCGTCGCGATTCTCAGACCAGAACAAAGCGGCCTTTTGGCTTCCCGGAAAGACCCTACGCTGTGGCTAGCCCAGCTGTGAAAAGCCTCTATTCACAATACACTTGGAATTCAACTAAGAATAATTCCTTTTTTAAAGGAATTATTTGGAGAAAGAGTCATCAGAAAAGATTTGTCAGAGTCGTCTGTGAAGGGCTCCGGGATTCGTGAACCTCCAGGCTCCCTGGCACCGACGTCAAGACAGAAGTGACAGACGGCATACTGGGGTTAGTCAAGTCCGTTAAGGTGGTGGGAGTGCTGGAAGGGCTCATGGAGGCATTGGAGATTTCGGAGGCGGGGCCCGACGGCGTGCCGGCTTGCAGCGTGGAGTCAGACGTCTTGTCCACCCCCGTGTTCTCTTGACGTAAAAGGTTCCGTCTGAATTTGGCTCGGGCATTTTGAAACCAGACCTAAAACCATTCAAAAGAAAAAGAGTTAACTTAAAATGGTGGACATTAGACACAGCCTTTTTGTAGGCTGAGCTGGTGTCCCACAGTGGCTGAGAGAATGAACTGTGATCCAGGAGGTCTCCAGTTCAAATATGACCTCTGCCATTAATTCACTAGGTGGCACCTCTCTCATCCCCACCCCAGCCACAATATGAAGATAATAATATTGACCTACCTTACAGGGTTGCTATAGGGGTTACAGAATGATATATGAAATGCTTTGAATGCTTGAAAGCACTATACAAATGTGAATTATTATGATATACTTCCAATGACAAATAGATCAATGGATCAAAGGGGTGAGTGGGATTCAACCGCAGCAACTCCAGAGAGCCACTGTGATGCAGCGGAGACCTGGGTTCAGACACCGTCTGTGCACAGTCCCCCCAGTGTCCTTGGACCAGCCAGTCATATTTGTTTCTTTAAAATCAGAAGTCATCACACAGGTTACAGAATAGTCTTTAACAGGAAAAATAGAACAGCAGCAGATACTCTGAGATGAGTAGTGTCAACTGGAGCCAAATTCAGATTAAACTAGGCTTAAATGTACAATTTACTTTAATGATACTGCTCTTGCAGTCAAGTCGGCTCTGAACGATGTCACACTAAGACCAAAAAAAAAGATTGACTGAGAAAATAACTTGGCAACTGCCAATGTAATATTAAAATCCACCCCTGCTAAAAGAAACCTCAAATTATCCAGTTCACACCTAGAGTTCTGGATACAGGGTTTTATCCAACTATCTCCTGCATCGTTAAGCAAATTACAGTCAAATAGACAATGTTGAAGGGTTAAATGTAGTATAATAATTGTTGCTATTAATCTTATAAATTATTATTAGCAATAGAAATTCTCAGGGCAGTGTATGCTATTAAGGTCTCACTCTCTGGAGGTAAAATATATAGGGAGAGAAAAAAGCATTTGGGCAGACTGGTTGAGCAGAAAAAGATGTTCGTGTGACAGGGGCACACAGGAAGCTGCCTTCTACTGAGTCAAAGCATTGGTCCATCCACCTTTCACATCACCTACTACTTGATCCTTTTAACTAGAGATGCTGGGAATCAAACCTGGGACCTTCTGTGTACAAAGCAGATAGTCTATAACTGAGCCATGGCCCAGTAGCCATTTAATTAACGTTTTCTTTCAAAAATAAACAACACACTACGTCCACAGTTAATAGCACTGAAAGAAAAACAGCAGGCAGACAGATGATTGATCTAGTCAAACAAAAGGTGGCAATTTTCATAGACAGACGGACATTAATGAGCAGTTCACACATGCTTATTTACCATTTATTGAGCAAAGTGGTTAACTTGTATGTATGTGTGAACCACCACACATTGATCCCCACCACCACCAACCATCATATCATCCAGTGTCCATTCCAATGCTGGAGACATTTTCACACATTCATCTGAGAGCCACCAAGTGAAGCAAGCCCAAGTAGTAAAATGCTATTGTGAATCAATAAGAAGTACCATCTCCTCTCCCAGTCACCAAAATCACACCCAAACTAAAGCCACCTCTCTCCTCCCAGAAAACCTACGAATCCCAGCTCTTAACCTCTCCTTCTTGCCCTAAGAAATTATCTTCATACAAAACTAAGGACTCAACACTGACCCCGCTGTTTGTATCTCATCTGCCAGTAAAAGCTAAGATTGTAGATCTTATTTTGTAAGAATTATTGGATCAAAGTTTCACATGCTGGTATTTTTGCAGATATGGGGCCTATTCTGTAGTGTTCTGCAGGGGATGAAATGATTATTTTGAGGCTCCCATGGACTCATAACCCTGATAGGGCTGGCTGCCCTCTGTTGTGCTGTGGCACCAGCATGGCAGATGGCCAGAAGATGGTACTGCAGCTACCAGCTCAATGGATCAGGTGACAAAAATTGCCCATACACTTTCACCTGGTCCTATAAAGCAGCAAAGAAGATAGGAAAAGCCCTGCAAATTGGGGGAAAGTGGTTCTATCTCATCCAGCTTTCTGTTTCCCCAGAGTAGCCAACTGGCCATTTCTAAGAAGCTCATAAACTGGGCATGGAGACAACAACCCTCTGTTGTTGTTCAGCTCAGGTGGCCTCTGAAATGGAGGGTCCATTTACTTATCATAGCTAATAAGTCACTGACAATGAATCTGTGTAAAGCCATCTAACCTAGTGGAGATCACTACAAGCTGGGGCAGTGAATTCCGTATGTTAATTATGCATTGTATGAAAAAGAGTTCCCTTTTCTCCTTCCTGAATTTACTGTTAATCAAGTTCAGTGCATGATTAATTCAATTTGTTCCAATCAAGCATAATTTTTATATAATGCCTTCCTTTTATTTTTATTTTTCTTGATTTAAAAAGCTCCATCACTGTTAGCCTTTCCTTGTAGGAAAGGTGTTCCAGCTCCTTGATTTGATCGACATTGTCACTGCAGTTTTCTGCACTTTCCTTTTCCAACTCCATTATGTCCATTTTGAGATGGTATGACTACGAACCATGTACAGTATTCCAAATGAGGCCATACCTTAGATTTATACAAAGGCGTTATAATAATACATTTTATTCTCAGTCCCTTTCCTAATAATCCTTAACATGGAATTTGCCTTTTTTACCTTCACCAAACACTCAGTTGATGGCTTCATTGAACCATCATGCCAGGATCTCTTGCCTGGATGTTTTGCCCCAATGTGCCTTACCTAGCATTACTCTTACTTACATTGAATCTCATTTGGCATTTTGTTGCCTTCTTGTTTAATCTGGAGAGAGGCTTTTTGGAGCCCTTTGATGTTCACTTGGGTTTTGACCAGTTTGAATAATATTGTGTCATCTGCAGTTTTGCAGATGTATATTAGATAGCACTGGCCCTGGTACAGGTCTTTGGAGAATCTCACTGCTCCCTTCCCTCCACTGTAGAAAACTGTCACTGCTTCCTCTTCTTTAACTACTTACCAGTCTGTAACAAGACGTGTTCTGTTGCACCATGACAGCCTAGCCTACCTCCCAGAGTTAGTGAGGATAAAATGGAGGAGAGGAGTACCATGTATGCCACTCTGGGGAGAAAGGCAAGGGTATATATGAATATAGGCAGGATATATATGAATAAATGAATGAATGAACTGCAGTAGCAACTCATTTGCAAACAGCATTCCCACCAGTGTTTCATTTCCTGGAGGCTGCTGAGATGGGACTGGGAGACCCACTGCTCTCATTTCCACTTCCATAGCTGCAGGCACAACAGTCCAATCTCCCCAGCAACAGTTGTTCAGTTTAGCCGTGGGTTGGGTATCTGGGCCCCAGACCCCAGTCCATTGCTCAAGCAGTCATCCTGTGTTGTGCATCAGCTGCATCCCGTGATTGCTGCCATCCCAGGCCTTCTCGCCCTGCTTACATAGGCTGCCTTTGTTGTTGTCTGTGCCCTGACAGGTCAAGTCTTCCCTCCACCAGCAGCAATTCCTAGAAACGCCTCATTTATCTGCATGCTAGGAAAAACTTTTTCTCCTAAGTTGTTACATGTCAGCCTGCACAGGTCCAGGACGACCAGAAAAAGCTGGCAACCCTGTTTTCAGAGACCATCCCCCATCCCCTCTTGCCTTGCAGAATGAAAAGACCCCCTAACAAAGCTGACTAAACATCTGTCCAACTGACTCATAATAACCTCCAGTACAGAAGAAGCCACAATGCCTCCAGCCCGCTTTTCAGGAAGAAAGGTCTGACTCCATTTTTTTTTTAGCTCCAGTTGGAGCCCATCATCTTCTGCCTTGATCAATGTAGTCCAAGATCCAACAGTATAAAGCACAGCACCCCTTCCTGATGAAACCTCCTAAGTTTTTTTTAATAAATTAGTGTGTGAGTCTAAGATACAGCATGTGTTGCTATCATGTTTTCCGAACGGATCCAGCAGCAGTTTCATGTGCACCAACTTTAGAATAAACCTTCCTGAGCATAGGAAGAACATATATCAGTCATACATCCCCTGCTTTATGTAAGACACCCAGACTGCAAGCAAAATATGGACTATGGTGCTTTCTTCATGTTGCACCAGCCATTGGAGCAACATCCTGTCCTCCCAGTAATGCAAGGAAGGTGGCCTTCCTTCCTTTATTTTACAGAGGAAGCTATATGCTTGGATGCTGGAAAGGGGAGTTCAGAAAGCCTCCAGAAATCCAAATTTCAAAGGAGGAAAATAACATTCTTTAAAAAAAAAATTCCTCCAATACGAGTGAAATGTGAGTCTTTTACCTAAGGAGGTTGAAAGTTTCTCTTTTGCATCAGGCTACCACATCTGCCATCAGACCCTCTCAGCCCACCCCCCCCCCAGCAGGCTCGTGTGTACAGTTAAATAAACTTGAGTTGCTGCCTTGCACCGCATCAGATCCCATTGGGCCTTCTCAGTGGCAGCTCCTTACTGGTGGAATGACCTCCCAGAAGAGATCAGGGCCCTGTGGGATCTTCTACAGTTCCGCAGGGCCTGCAAGACGGAGCTCTTCCACCAGGCTTTCAATGAAGGAGCTGTCCTAACTACTACCATCAACGAGCCCAGCCCTCAGCCTTAACATCTGGTCTATACCATCGCGTGACTCAAGAAGACCACTGAGCTGGACTGTCTGCTTGCAAAAGTTCTTAGTATGCCACCTCAAGTAACTAATGAAGAATTACTAGCACCTTATGATTTTATGATTCATTTGTAATTGAATTGTTTTAAAATTATTTTATGTGGTTTTATTGGTATTTTTGTACCAACTGTGTTAGCCGCCCTGAGCCTGCTTGCGGGGAGGGTGGGGTACAAATTGAATAAATAAATAAATAGATCAGTACTGATTGCCAGCAGTTCTCTGGGGTCTCAGGTGGTACTCCCCAACCTACCTGCTAGCCAAGATATCTTAGGTGGTGATGCAGGGACTGACGCTGTAGCCTTCTGCATGCAAAGCAGTTACTGTCTCATTGAACTAAAATCCCTTCCCAAACGATCC